TTGTTGCGAAACATAAAACGTTCATACCCTCGTGTATATACTTATCTTCTCGTTCCCGAATTTTAAAATATAGATATCTCTTCGCGCTCTTTTCGAGGGGTACTAAGCAGTCTCACCACTTATCGTATAAGTTAAACTTATCACATCAAATATACTAAAACCACCTTACCTGACTTAAACCTTCTTTTACATTGTCTAAGGTACGAATTTCGGCAGTTTACCTTGCGACGCTAACATGTTGAATCTAGGTTTCACACAAGGTCTTAGAGACTTTACTAATTAGAATGTTATATATATTATCTGGAAGGATATAATGACATCTCTTGTCCCTGTTCAAATTTCTATGAATCAGGGTTTAGCGATTTCCCCCCTTCATCCTAGTGACCCATTCTTTAGGTCATGGCTTGACATGGTACTCGAGTGCCTTCTTAAACAGCACACTTCCAAGTTAACTTCGTTCACCGACGAAGTGCAACAACTTTATTTATTAGCACAATATTTTAATGGGTTTGTCGACGCCCAAATTCTTATTTACAACACAATAGCCAAGGCATTCGAAATGTCACGCTATTGGCCGGGTGCAATTGGAGCTTACGAGAGAATTTTGACCTTACGGCATAATGATTATGAGACAATCATGGGATTGGCGAGAACTTACGGCTTAGAGGCGCATAAGGAAGAGTTTGTTAAGTACGCATACCTATCGGTCAGAATGAATCCCTACAATTGGGATTGGATCTTATATATCACCGACTTGTTGGCGAACGGATTCTTTTCTCTTCACCAGGAGGCTTTGTCAATCCTCGATTTCGTCGTCAATCAGTTTCCGAACGCGAAGGTCAGTTCCGGGATGGAAATTTACAACATTCAAAAGATTTACAAGTTTCGTGGCATACTCAAAGAAAAACTTGGTGACAAGGTTGGAATGTGTGCGGATTGTTTAAACATGATTGCAATTGGTTTCGGCGGTAAAACCTTGCCGACATTAATCGATGAATTATTGTTGTCTATCGGTTACATCAACTTCAATATCAACAATTATCCGACAGTGATGTTGATACCAGATTATGTCACTTCAGCACTACCGGTCATATTGTTTCCTAATTCCAATGGCATCATTCCGGGTCACAAAGGATTAACACTTAACGACATGCTATATGCTAAGATAGAACTCATCAATGCTTTACGAATATTAGCACTGGAATTCGAATTAGACTCACAGATAATTCAAGCTCAACTGTGGAGTGCGTCTCCCCTTCGATCAATTACCTTGTTAATGCTTTACATCGCAATCGCAATTAGTCCATCGGCTCAACTTTGCCTTCAGCTCGCGAAGGTCTTGACAACCATTCAAGAAATAATCTTAATCGGTCCGCAAACCTTTGATGGCACAGGTCTTGCCATTGAATACCTTAAGCTTGGTTTGGTTTATGACAAG